AAAGCTAAGGGGGTGCAATAACCCATGCTGTATGCCACCTGGAAAGTCTGAGGGCTACAGGCCACACTCAGACCCAGGCCGAAGGGGGGGCAAAACACCCCACAAAAAGATTCAGGGCCTGGACGAGATACAGTTGACCAAGTCAACTGTCAGTCTACCCAACAGTCAAAGTCAAAGGTACCCAGCCCAGGCCGCTGGTCAGGCACGCACATTTGTTTGTATGCAGGTACCCAGACAGCATCAGGTCCAAAGGGAAGTCTGCAACTGTACACAATCCAGGCCCTCGGCTGTGAGTCAATCTGGACGACTGTGGGGGAGGGAACCGAGGCCAGACAGCCTCGTCAAATGCTACTTAAAGTCTGGCTTCGAGGTGGTCAACATTCAGTCTTGCTATGCTGCTTGGATGCTGGCTTGACTTCGACCAGACGCTGGCATTGACGCTGGCACGGCGTTGGCGAGACGCTGGCTGGACGCAGGCTGTGCGCAGGCTCTGTGGACGATGACGCGGACTGTGACGGCATGCTGGCGCGTTCTGCATTGTGCGCTAGGCATTGCTGATGTGGCGCTGCCACTTGTCTTCAAGGATGATGTGGCGCAGGCCACTTGTCTACATTGCTGATGTGGCGCTGCCTATGGTCTGCATTGCATGCTGATGTGGCGCAGGCCACTTGTCTACATTGNGCAGGCCACTTGTCTACATTGCTGATGTGGCGCTGCCTATGGTCTGCATTGCATGCTGATGTGGCGCAGGCCACTTGTCTACATTGCTGATGTGGTGCTGCCTATGGTCTACATTGCATGCTGATGTGGCGCATGCCACTGGTCTACATTGATGATGTGGCGCATGCCACTTGTCTCGACTGCTGACGTGGCATTGTCCACGCTGTCTACATGAGGTGACTAGTTGCGAGGAGGAAGATCGGGATCTGTGGATGATTGGGAAACGGGATACTTACCTGAGGCCGACGTTGATATTGTTCGCTGCTGGCTGTCTTCATCGTCTCTATAAGAGAGAGATGCCACGTGGCACCTCTGTATGATTAGACTTTACCAAAACTTGTTACTATTGTTGATTGATGACATGGAGGGAGAAGAAGCTAGGAGAAGGAGTGGGACAGGTTGGGCTATTATCGTGTGATCTTTGATTATCACTTCCATCTTCTCCCTTGTCTATCCTCCCTCCACTCTCTTCGTCTACTGGTAACGAGGTACTGTTGCAGATATCATTTTCACATTAATTGGAGACTTTGAACAGATCTGAGACTACTGGAACTTCGACGTCCGATGAGTATCTTCCTGACTGGGCTCATTACAGGGGATGGAATGTGCGGAATGTGCCCTCACGGGGCCCTAGCCAACATGCACATGATCTGGGCTGTGGCCCCCAGCAAGCCGCGTGCCCGCCCTAAGTGAAGGCGGGCCTGAATATCCATAAGAGGCCCTTTCTCAGTATTTTCCAATGTGGGTATCAGACAGGTGCAGCATGCCAGTTGGTTGAAGTGCATCGTGAGCCTCTCCCTGGGCTACTTCCAGAAACAGCAACTGTGTCAAGCAGTTGAGCCCAGGGCCGGGTGGTTGCGCCCTGGGCACACGCAGTGTGAGGCCGACACATCACGAAGTTGCCGCGGACGACCCAGAACGCAGCATTGTCGTCTCAGAGGCCCAGCGAGCCAATGAGAAGACGACGAACACTTGGAGCCTGGAGGCTGCCTGGACGTGCCCAACCAGAAAGGGTCCAGGCTCCCAGCTGTCGGACAGGGCCTGGACGCAGACACTGGGGCCCGACTGGACGCTACTGGGATCTTCCCCAGCCAGGCCCTCAGAGCCAAATAGAGGCCGCGACTTCCATATAGGAAGGTCGTTGGCCAGAGGCGGGCATTCTGGCGTAGGCAGGCAATGCGTACACGCTGCGGCGTTGCTGTGCAAGTGTCTGCATGTGCGCTGCTGGCTGGGGCACACACGGGCGCTATGAGATGAGAGGGGCGCTGCACGGCAGCGGGCGCACGGCAGCCATAGCCGGGCTGCAGGGGCGCATGCGGGTGATAGGCGGAGGAGGTCTTCGGGTAGGAGGCACATGAGTGGGTGTTCAAGGTCTGATGAAGAAAGGAGAGAGAACATACCTGGTGTATGTGGGAGGTCGGCGTTGGTGTTGACGTCATGTATATTGGTCTTCAACGTTGGAGTAATCCTGTTGCGAGAATGTAGATAGGCTAGATAGGCTCAGTAGAGTAGGCTGGGCGCTGGGCGCCGGACAGAGATGAGCGACATTGGATACTCTGTCGGTGGGGCCTGAGGGCGATAACATTAGCACACGAGTTCACTGCTTTGCTCATATTTGGATGGAATCTTGGTGCATTTGAGCTCTCTGCCTTGCAGTTTTAATTAGTTCTTGGGTGTTAATAACGTGGTTGGGATTCTTGGAAACAGTTTCTGACTGTGAGGAGAAGAGAGGTTTAATTCTGACGCCGCCCGACCGGTTGGGCCCGGGGGGGGCGCCCAGGTAAACCGGGGGGGGCGCCCGGGTAAACCGGGCGGGCCAAAAAAACGCCCAGAAATATATATATATATATATATATATATATATATATATATATATTGTTCTGTTTGTGACGATATATATATATATATATATATGATGAGTCGGTGAAACTCCGACGAAACAGTTTGTCACAGCCCCTCGTTTGTTGTCCTCTTCTCCCT